AGGGATGGGTAGGCTTGGGCTGTAGAGTTGGCTAGTCTTAACTCATCCTAATGTATGCAAATGAGATCTCAGTGGTGCTATAAAATGCCATAAAGTGCTACAAAACGCTTATCGCTTTCATTTGTGAACTTTCTCTCCATTATAAGCATCTCATTAGCAGTGACTCAATGTATATAACTTTAGATCAATAGTTAACACAATTTGCAGCAATTGCTCGATTGCTCGACAGCTTCTAATTAGGCATTTGGCCACTAATCTGGTTATATGTGCACCAAATCACCCAATTATGGGACTCAAAAAATGTGTTCAACTAAGCTATCTCTCTCTCTCTCTCTCTCTCTCTCCTAATCATATTATTACTTCTTTAGCTTCAGAACAATAAATCAATATTTTGTTAAATTATTTGTAACTAACTATCCTTCAATCTCTTCTTATTTTCTACTTAACTCCAAAATATTGTACGAATTTAGATTCTTATACTTAATTAAGTAATACTGTACCATACTACTGTAGTTTATAAATTTTATGAAATTATTGTTTAAGTTAGTACAAACACAAACAACAAATATAGTACTATAATAACAATTAAATAGTGATATACACTATACGCATAATTTACACTATTTTCAAATAAGATTATTCATATTCTTGATATTTACTTATTTTTATTCAATATTCATAATTAAATAATTAAAATTTCAAAGTTTAGTTATTGCCAACTGTTTTATTTATTGGTATTATTGGTATTAATTTATACAAAAATGAAGTTATAATAAATTAAGTAATATTTATGTCACAAAATAAGTTCACACAAAAAATCATAATATTATAGATTCTGTATTTTAATATCATTTGTATATTTATATTTACTTTATATCTCTTACTAAATATTAATATATCTAATTAAAGATAAATCGTTAGATTACTGTGACTCGGTCGTAATATACACACAAATGAAATAAACTAACTGATTACTAACTCTATATAGAGCCCCCACTGCCCATAATTACTTTAGTTCTCTACTTTCATATTTACGTTAGTAATCCTTTCATTAGATAACTGCTAACCATTGTTCGCTTATATTCTCTAAAAAAGAAAAATTAATGACAAAAAAATGAAAATTAATTTATTTACTTTTATACCAATAACTTACTCTAAACAAACTTACCGATAATAGACTTTTGTTATATTACACAAGAGATAACTCCGTTAACACGACTTCCCTACTGAATACTCGTTGTTTACTCACAAATATTGTAAAATAGGTTCGTGTAGCTCAAAGACATACATATAATGGTTTGAATTTCATACAAGTGGGTCTTTTATCTCCTTTATCGCTTTGTGACCGGTTGTCAATAACTTAATTCAGTTGTTTTACAGTAACTTAAATTCTTATACTAACATACACAAAAGTGTAAAATATAATATATATCAGTAGCGCTTTTTTCTATACACAATGTTATATAGTGTTAGTTCATAAAAAGGATGAAAGTATTGACAAATTTATATTACATTTTATACTTATTTAATGAGAAAAAGTGGATCTGATTTGAAATTTGATAAATAAACATTCATTTCTCAACTAACGTAAGGCCTGTAAAACGTTTCCGTCACTACTGAATGACTACTCGAAGAAGTGATTGGATAAGAGTTTGTCATTAGATTTGTTGCACTTCTGCCGCATTCAGCCAAATGTCGTGAAACGCCTGTCCAACCGGTCACTGGAGGACATGGAGACGATGTACTTGCAGATGAGGCTGTCGTGTCTAATGGCGTGCATTTCGAAGACTTGGAGGAATGTTCGGCTGAAGAGCTACTCGTGAATGAAGTTTGCATTTTTGACGGCTTATCAGAAACGCATTCATTGAGTGAATGGTTTGATTTTGGGTCTGAATGAGAGGATAAGCTGTTGTTTGGTTTGTGATCATTGCTATTGCTATTTGTGTCACACTTTTGTTTGGACTCGTTGTGAGCTTTTTTACTCCGTTTCCATTTCATTCGCCGGTTTTGAAACCATATTTTAACCTAAAATCACAATTTATTTGCTTTTAATGCCATTTATTAAACAAAAGAATATATAATATTAGTTCAGTTCAGAAATAATCGATAAGTTTGAATGACATGAGTTTCAGATAACGATAATAACTGTTGTTTTCTGAAAAATCAATTAGTATTAGAGTAGATATGATATATTAGTAGCAGATTCGCGATCAAAATTAACACATCAAGTCTTAACCACTTGAGAATGAAAGCCTCAAATTGATAGACAATAAGCAACTGATTTTCTCTCAATAATAAGTAGTTTTTAACAGATGGCTACAAAATAATTTTCATTTTTTCACTTTAAACAATTTGTAGTTTTCTTTAAATATATGAAATTTGTGTGTCAACGTTACTATATTTACTAACTAATATTTCATTTAGATCTTATATGTTTTATAATTGTGAGCTTATACTGTACAAGATGCAATATTCTCTAATTATTACGATATTTAATTTTAATGTTAAATGAATCAGGTATGAGTATATAAAATTAAAATGACTTTTAAATGCATTAATAACTATTCTGACAAAAGTTATTATTTTTAAAAATTAATATACTAATAATTTATAATATTTGAGGGTTCATTCATTTAATGGATACCCAATTTTTTCATTCCTAGTTATGATTTATTTATTGAACTTATTTTTGAAAATATTTGTAATAATCTGAATATTTTAAAATACAACTTATCATGCAACTACTAGTATTGATAATATCTTACTGGTCAAAAGAATAATTATAATTTAATGAATATTTTATCTAATTTGAGTTAAATATGAGATATAGTGCATAATTCTCAACACTGCGAACACTTTATATCATATCAAAAGTGTGAACAAAATAAACATTCGCGATCAAAATTAACACATCAAGTCTTAACCACTTGAGAATGAAAGCCTCAAATTGATAGACAATAAGCAACTGATTTTCTCTCAATAATAAGTAGTTTTTAACAGATGGCTACAAAATAATTTTGATTTTTTCACTTTAAACAATTTGTAGTTTTCTTTAAATATATGTATAATATATGTATATGTAATATATATGTATATATATATATATATATCTTTAAATAAATGTATCAACGTTACTATATTTACTAACTACTATTTGATTTAGATCTTATATGTTTTATAATTGTGAGCTTATACTGTACAAGATGCAATATTCTCTAACTATTACGATATTTAATTTTAATGTTAAATGAATCAGGTAAGAGTATATAAAATTAAAATGAATTTTCAATGCATTAATAACTATTCTGACAAAAGTGATTATTTTTAAAAATTACTATACTAATCTGAGGGGTCATTCATTTAATGATACCCACTTTTTTCATTCTTAGTTATAATTTATTTATTGAACTTATTTTTGAAAATATTTTTAATAATCTGAATATTTAAAAATATAACTTATCATGCAACTATTAGTATTGATAAAATCTTGCTGGTCAAAAGAATAATTATAATTTAATGAATATTTTATCTAATTTGAGTTAAATATGAGATATAGTGCATAATTCTCAACACTGCGAACACTTTATATCATATCAAAAGTGTGAACAAAATAAACATTAATTTACAGAATATTTATAAATAAATTAATTACAATAAATATTATTATAAAGGAATTGAGTTATGATGCACACTGTATTTCAGTAATAAAATTAATATTTCAGTAATGTATTAAGCAAACATATAAAATAATAACTAATAACTTATCGATAAATATATTTTAATAAAAATACGACAGAATTGTGTGAATAGTAGTCGACTGTAAACACAGTACTGTATATAAACAAAGCACTTAATTATAATAATAGCAGTTTTGATATTTAATAATATATTGAAAGAGCGTATTATTGAAGGCATTAGACTATTAGACATTAGACTTAATTAATGTTTGCTATGGCTATAAAGAATGCAATGTTTTGTCTTTGCTATCCATTACTGCCATGGGATTAATGGATGTTATGCATAGCTAATAGCTATTAGTGCTCACAACCAGCCTTTCCTCGACGGATGCAAATTACTGACAGGAAATTATTATAATTAAGAGCTCATCGCTCACCAAATCATCTCATCTCTCATTGTTTGCATTCACGTTCCCTTTAATTCCTATTGTTTGCTCTCAAAACACTACATCCACCCCAACATCTCTCTCTCTCTCTCTCTCTCTCTCTCCTCTCTTCTCTTACAAAACTTGTAATACTTTTTCCTCCAAACCCCGAGATGTATGGATAGCCATATAAATGCAGTCAATGTAAGAATGCATTAGATATTAAAATTTTGCTTCAGCTCTCTCTCTCTCTCTCTCTCTCTCCTCTTCCTCTCTCTCCTCTTCCTCTCTCTCCCTCTCTCGCTCTCTCTCTCTCTCTCTCTCTCTCCTCATACATTGAGCTCAAATAGCGTTGATTAACACAATTTGTTCACTAATTTATTCTCATTTAATTGTTTCTCTCTAATGACGCTCTCATATAAATATCTTCAGAATAACTAATTAACTAATTATAGAATTAATTAAAATTGATTATTAAACCAAACTGTCAATTAAGTCACAGCTCTTTACTCTCAATTACTAAATCTCGCCAAACTTTTTATTGACTATATTTTAAATTAATTTTCTCTAATTTTAATTTATTTATTATTTCATATGTCGAGTAAATAATAATCAAATTTAATTCAATAAAAATTGCTGCAAATTCAAAATATGATTGCTTTTAGAGTTAATAATAATACAAATACTCAACAAACAATTGTAAACTAATTAATTACAATAGTTTCCCATAATAAACGCAGATACAGTATACTATTTAATTTAATTGAACAGGGAATGATAATTATTGTTAAGTTCATTTTATCATTTTCTGTAAACTCAATGCATTGAAAACCACATAAAATCCTAAATTATTAAACAATTGAAGACATAGTGAAAGGGTAATGAAAATGAAAAAAGTTTAAAAGAAATAAAATGAGAAACTCAAAGATAATTTGAATGAATGGTTGGTTACCTGTGTTTCGGTGAGCATTAGATTAGTGGCGACTTCGAAGCGTTTGGGTCGAGACAAGTACTTATTCATCCGGAACTGGTTCTCGAGCTCCAGGAGCTGTTGGCTCGTGAATGCAGTCCTCGGGCGTCTCGTTTTGCCGATGACAGCCGCCTGAGCCGGACCTATAAGATGTCCAACTGCTTAGTCGATAATATTAATCAAATTATTGATATTTAATTATTATATTTCATCTGAACGACAAACAAGTAAATGTTGGGCACATCATAGAGTAATCAAATAATACAAAGAATCGCTAATATATTATGAATTAAGTGAATGCAAAACAAATTAATTCTAAGCCCTAAAGCAATTTGTATTGAATTGTACTATAAGTGAAAGACAATTGCAAAATATGTTCACTTTAGCCATTTGAATCATATTTAACATAATTTTCAGTGCTTTAGTGCCATACTTATATAAGTTTTATATAATATGAATGCAAATCAATGAAAGCATTTGAATAAATTAAATAAAACAAGAAATTAGTGAACGCTTTGATTATTAATAAGCGTTGAGTCAAATGATGCTGAATATGAATGAAGTGTATAATGATTGTAATGTATTTGCTTGACGTATGCATTATATTGTGTTGAGTTTAGCAGTGCTCTCGTGCTGTGCTTTTCATAGTGTTAAGTGAATTGTTGGCCACCATCTCAACCATCTGTCATCGATATACCACTTATTCACTTATCCTCTGCCTCTCCCCCCACACCCACTATATATAGAGAATCAAAGACTCATGAATTGCTAATGTCATCCATTGCCGCGATTACTACAGCATCACTACAGCACCCATCACTACAACAGCTAACAGTGCCAATAGAGCTAACAGAGCTAACAGAGCTAACTGTGCTAACAGTGCCAAAACAGCGGCCGCACACACCATCCCAACCATCACACCATTAAAGCATCGCTTATTTTCTGGTGTTTTGCTTCACTACAGAAATTATCTCACATTTAAAACATTCACATTACAGGCATTATAAACACTACAGTGTGTGCACTACCAGTGCATTCACTGATAAATGCTTACAAAGTTAGAGTAGACATCACTTTAACTAATGATTAGAGCAATGAATTTGATTGCATTATTAGCATAAATGATGTGACATATCGTTTGTATTATAATATAGATTACACTCCAATATTAAAATTTTCACATTTTGTTGGATTTATGGCATAATTGAAAATAAACGATAAATGCTTGCAATAAAAAATTATCCCAAAATACAGTTAAAATGACTCTTTAATAAAATTGGATACTATTATGGCATCCAATCGTGTTTTAAGCAATCATTAGAGATGTGTTAAAGTTTAATGAAATGCCATTAAATAAAATAATAAAAGTTTTCTATTTTATTTAGAAAAAGACAAAATTCATGAATTCTTCTTTGATTCTCATTAGACATGTATCTTAAGACATGGTATGAAAGAAATCAATAGAATATAGACTTCATATTCTGGGATAACATTAAGAATCGGTTCTTGAAATGAATTCTTTTAACTTTCAATGAAAACACAAAAATTGATTATTATTTGAATTTGATTTCAGATAAAAAGCCTGAAAATTGGTTTTGAATGAAAAAGTGGTAAAGCATTGACTCATTGGATGCAAGCCTTTAGGGTTTGAGTGATTATTACGGGAATTGTATAAAAGAAGTTAAATCGCATTACAGCTTATTATTCAAAGGGAACCAAATAAAGCATATAATATACACACAAATAGTTAACGCACTGTAAGACTACTACAGATAGCCGTACGATATTAGGGCGCAGATGGCCGGTGCCACTCTCCCTAAGTAAACAATTGGCTGATTAGTGTACCATTTCTTGTGTCCTCTCTCTCTCTCTCTCTCTCGCTCTCTCTCTCTCTCTCTCTCGACAGTCAAAGCGATGAATCGCGACTTGTTTTTGATTAAAATCCATTAAAACACTATTGATTATTAATATTTGGAGGGAATCTAAGAATGCATTCGCAATAATCATTGATATGTTTTCACATTTGGTTTGCTTTGAAATGTTATGACATTTATTGAGATATCGTTTGAGACTATTCTCGAGCGAGTGATTGTGAAAAATTGAAAAAAAACTTTCATACAAATAGGTTTGTGATCGTCAATACAAACAGTCGGCGATATTATTGCCATATATCGAGAGTAATATCATCTTTAACTGCATTTATAGACTGCCCTACACTATAATGTTATATAATATAATAAGTCAAATGCTTTTACTCACTCTCATGTCATAGTTAGCCCTACTGTATGGCAAAGTACTGTACACTAAATAACTTTCATTTAGTACTAGTGGTGATGATTTGTTGGGTGTTTGGGTGGACCGTAATCTTAATTGTATTCACCACTCAAACCACTCGTCTCCAGCGATGAGAGCAAGTGTTGATAAGTTATTAAATTAATTTGATTTGAAGTCCTATTACTTATCTTACAGCGAAAGCCAGTATTTTTTAGTCTAACACTAAAGAGATGTCAATATATTTATTGCACTCATATATCAAAACACGAGTAAATCTAAAGCGTCGCTAATATTCATTGACCGCAGAGTAAACACAAGCGATAAAAGTGTGGAATTAGTGAAACCATAAATTAAATGCTATTTCAATACATTCATAAAGACTGCACAAAAAGATCCGATACTAAGACATATCGTCGATATTCGAGACAATATAAGCATTTAAGGAACCGATCAGTTATACGATTCTCATCGCAAACACCGGCAATAACTTATGGGTTTAGTAATTGATTAGATATGATGTGATTTAACAATAAATAAATGTTTTCACACAAAATATGAATACAAATGCAAATCCAATAACTTTTGGTCATAAACATCATATCAACTCAATTCACATTTGTTTGGCGTTATATCGATAGTAATTCTCAAACAATAATTTACAAGCAATTCGATAGCTTATCCTCGATTCTAATACACTATATAACACTTATGAGCTTAAAAGCAATTTGAATTACAAGTATATAAATATGTACACTATAATAAGTACACTATATTTTTTTAACATTACATAAACCAACTTTAATTAAAACTAATTTTATAATTTTCCATAGGTTAAACATTGGGTTGTGGTCTCATTTGGAACCCAAATGGCACCCAAAAAATGGCTCAAATGCCCGTTTGACAATTGACCATGATAGCATTATTATTATTATTAACGGGTGGGGAGAGAAAGGGGAGAAAGTGATTATAGTATCGAATATTTTTCATATGAAAAAGCGGTAATAAACTAAGTTATATAGCGGTTAAGCATTGAATTGTCTGTAAAACCTTGTTTACTATCAGAATAAGCACTACATTCTGTAGAATATAAATAGAATATTTTAAAATTCACTTTATATACTAATTCTAATTAAAATAAACTTAACAAGGCTTTAATTAACTATTTTTATGAAACATTATTGACTTGTGAATATATTTTGCAAATTTGTTGTTTCAATTATTGCATATTATTTGACATATAATTAGTTTTATCACTGAATAAAAGCACAATAATTTAGTTATGACTTACCAGAGGAGCGGTGATAGAGGAGTCCGGCGCGGGCTAACCAATCAATGGGTAGTCCACCTCCACTTCCTGTATGGCCTTTCATGTCATGAAAGGGTGAGTGAAAAGCGCTGCTATGGATGAGAGGAATGCCGGCAGAGGACCCGTTGGGGCCGTTAACCATTGCATGAGAACCGTGTGTTTGGTTATACATTGCGGCATATAATGGATGTCCTGATGGGTTGGCCGATGAGAATAGTGAGGACATAGCGGCGGCCGCGGCGTTGTTGTGATGAGAGTGGACACCAGAAGCTAGTGATGAGCACATCTGGAGGTTTGATGAACGGGGAGACCAGAGAGGGGACATAGGAGGTGTCCTCATCTCCATAGCCCTCATGTGGTCGTTATCAGCGGGTGTTCCGCGCGAACCGCTATGTGTTGTGCCGTTGATTAGCGCCGGACTTGACATAGGACTAGAGGACGAGTGCACGTCATCGGGACTCATAGGCGGCGATGCCCTCGAACTAGAGCTCAGGGATGCCGTCGATTGAGGACTTTTAAGTATGTGGTCCTCTCTGGCCAACAGGGCATCGATACAGAAGTTGGAAGCGGAGGACTTGGATGTAGTCATGTTTGTCGGCGACAGAGTCTCCGATTCTGATGCAGAAGTGCTGTTTGGATGACTAGAAGGCGATAACATTATGATTTCCACAAGACTTTAATTGATTTTTGAATTTGTTGTAAACGTTTTCTCAGATTGTATTGAAAACTACAATAACTTTCTATAAGAGACAACTTTACAGAGTATCCAAACAATTGTATTTTAATCGCATCTCTCACTGCTTTGGCTCCGATTGGATCCGTTTGACTCCGCCTTCAATCACACAATCGTAGGCCTAATATGCGCTAAACTGGACTCAAATCACTTGCAGAGAGTCCTCCTTTCAATCAATTATGATTGCGCTCTAAATCGCGATTATGTGTTGACTGAACCCAAATTGGCATCACTTGTGAAGTGAGGCCTCTATTCAACTCTTGTCTCTCTGTCCGATGTGTCTGTTCTCCGCACACAATCACTAATAACTTATGGCTTAGTACCCGATCATCAAACTAGACAATACATTATCCATCACTATATATATAATGAGAAGTTATCTTCATAAATGATCCCTGCTTCAAAATTGATATATTCACCCTCTAAACTAGTATAAATATATATCTCAGTAATATTCTCATGTTTTATGGTTTACTACTAATTGATTCAATTGTTAAGACGTTCATTGCTTTTGCATTGCTATCGTTACAAAACGCATGCAATTATACAATTATATAACTCCCGAGTTTTAAATTACTTGTCAGTATAGTTATATTACTAGTAACATATTCATATGAAATGAAAACAATTTAAGCGATAGTTTTATTTCATATTTACTTAATAGTCAACAATCAAATTGATTTATTAATCATTTAAATAATAAATCACAATTTTGTATAATATACTTATTTAGTTGTTATTAATTGATAATAAATTATCTCAATTTGTTTACTACAATAATGTAATTCTCAGAATTTAATATCAATAATTGATTTGTTTTCTCATTATCTAAATTATAAGACACATTAATTGCTTCCGTTTTGATTCAATCAATACAAATTAGTAGAGATTAATGCAAATATCATAATCAATGAATGCATTCTTGGAAATCAATTCATTTGCAATGAAACGAAAATTTGATTTATTATTCACACGAAGAAAGTTATTCTAATTTCATGTATTAAATATTAATGAAAAGATTGATGTGTTTTGTAATAATTATGAATTCAAAAAACTTTTATAATTCCTTCGGAACACAAAAGTCTCATTTGTTGCTAATATAATGATTTATAAGACTTATTGTTATCAGTTATACAGTATATAAGCTGTAATAGAATTGGGGGTTTGGGGCATATAAATGAGTGCTTAAAGTATAATTAATTCACAACAACTATTATCAGCCATTAGATTAACAAAATTAACAATTTTTATAATTAGTTAAAAAGTTTTTGGATTTTATGCTGATTTTTACAATTATGACTGAATACACAAATCAATATTAATGTGAACCCAATTGCGCGCATCTCTGGTCTATAAGCCTAAGAGGATAGAGAATATAATATATTACAGTATATCTAATTAACTGCTTTTTTGGGCTGAAGTGTCAATTATGATAAAAATTTATTATATGCTTTATTTTTATGGATAAGTAATTGTTATTCCTTGCACCAATTTATTACTCGAGTCATAAATACACATTAATCGACAATCAATAAGAATGCTATCAATTAAACTTAATCACAACAAAACCAATTGACTTCTCTTTCATAAAAGTGCTTCAAAACTGAATTTCAAACAAATGTTCATTTATTTAATCTTTTGTGAAAATTGCTTACATTTTTAAATATTCAATTAAATTATTTGTTGATTACAAATATTTATGTTAACATTTTACACTTAACAGAATCAATTAACTCATATATAGTATTAAATTATATTATTTTATTTGATCTATTGTATTTGCATATTTTTGGTGTAATTATATATAATTAAATTATAAGATTGTAATGTAAGCAAAACTATGAGAATTTTAAGATAATCTATTATGAAATGTTAACAATAAAAATTTCAACGAATGAGTTAAATAAAAAATTAATAACTTGTTAATTTATAGTTTACTAATACTATAATATATTGCATTAAATCTAACAAATATGAGTTAATTCGTGTGAATGTAAAGATAATGTTTCAACAAACTCATTGAAAACTTGTTCAGTCTATTAAACTAATAATATTACTCAAATGAACTGAAAAATATGATTTATTTCTATAGAAAATACTAAAATGAAAAATTAATGAAAGAATGTAATTGATGAGATATTAATCACGAGTTAATCTGCAAATTGTCTATAAATAACTGGAATTCAAATAATATACCAATAAAATGGTTAATAGATATGGCAATTGCAATCAATGATAAAATTAATGCAATTTAATAAGAGTTTTATTTTCGCTTTAAATCCGAGAAAACCAATAAAATGTTGTAAATTAACAAAAGGTGTGGTTATGTGCGAGATATGAGTTGATCCACTAATTCCAGGATTTCAATTGTGATTTATTTATCACTATTTAATCTGCAATAAGTTAAGCCCTAATGATATGTTAAGCTTAAATGACTTAAGTGATAGTTGACTACTGTTTATAAAAGTTAACGATTCAGTAGTGAAATGTTGTAAATGAATGGAAATCATAGTTAAAATATGTCACTAACTGTCAATCATTTAATTTCATATCATAAGTGATATAATATGAGTGTATTTTCAACATAACAATCAAATGTCAACTAATATCTAATCGAAAGCAACTCTCATTCAAACACCACTTATCAGCCATTCCTTCCTTAATACTGTTAAAGTGTGAGAGCGATGAGAGGTATGGTATGGTATGGTATGGTAGTCGAGCTACTGATTGTCTTAGAAACAACGAAATGTGCTTTTGATAGTAATTTAATTTTTATTAATAATAATAATAATACTACTAGGATGCCATCGACAATATGTGTGGGCTATGAATGGCATCACGAATCCATCAATGAATGTATCCATAACTGACTCAATGAAACTTTATTGACAGCACGTATTCCTCATATTTATGATATCAATCACAATAAACTTTATACAAACAGATTGTTAGAAAATATTAAACTACTTTTGAAACTTATATTAGTTATAATATTGATATTATAAACGATAACTAAAGTCCTATAGATTTGCTAATTAAGCTGAGCTATGATTCCAATGAGAATCTGAATGCAGAATATTATATGAATTATATGGCCTTATATTGGACTCTGAATGCAGAGTGTTATCTGAGTAGTTGTCATAACTGGGATTAAGTATTAGCCATGAAGACTTGTCAGCAATTGATTTCTCGTTTGCTTTTCATGCTCGGAATTGTGTCTCAATTTGCAACTATAGCTCACTTTTATAATACCGTTAGTCAACACAACACCCAATAAAGAGACTTAAATAGACGTAAAGAGTGGTAAAGCGACAGCAGATGCCATCGCAAACATCGCAAACACAACAATAATCTAATTTGAGACATCAAAAGAGACTGATTTCATGAATGTGTGAATCCAACTCCCCTTCTCTGCCGTTCCTATGCCTCTAATACAATACATTCACGTCTATATAATTGTAAATTTGTATTTTAGATCAGATGAGACACTCAACAAAACTTCCCATTCGTTAGACAAACAAAACTATTGGCAATACTCGTCACTATATTTAATATTCCCTAACACTGTATAATACCATATATTCCCTACACTTATGTCACATCTATTCCGTATAATAAAAAGTAATCCATAGATAAGACAAGTGCTGTGTTTTGAACACAACTTCATATCACTAAACATTTACACAAATATTCTATATTTAAAGGCAATTAACTTATCATAAGTTACTGTCATCTGAATGTTAACTAATAATTAGAGGCAATTGAATGAGAGGCCAAACACTTGACAATATATTTAAATACCAAACAAAACTTAAAACGAATTCAATTCTTGCAAAACAATTGTAAACCTTTATTTATTTAAATATAATTTACATTTCGTTTACAATTAAACCATTTATCGACAAATGTTTAACAAAACAATAATATTGTAATGAATTTATAGCTTAATTAAAATGACAATAAATTCGTAAATAAATTCAGTAAATATAAAGGAAATCGTAAATAATATATTAATTAAATTAAATTATAAGTTGAGTTCAAATCGATGACAAACTCATAGATCGCATAACTTTCTAACCATTTATTAGATGTAATCATATATTGTTTACAATTTCACTACAATTTAACTAATATTTACATTTGTTTCATAACAACAAATTGCAATCAATTCAACGAATCAAACAAATGACAGCAAAAGCAACGCCAGAGACAACCCAATGGTGAGCTTCTCTACCTATTTGTGAGTTTTCTGAGGACGTGATTGTAATGCCGGCGCACCTAATGCTTGGCCCGTCTCTGAGTTATACAACTGTTGTCCCAAACCTTTACCCGAATTCATGTCATACGAAATCATATGATTGGAGCCTTTCTTAGACTTCGACGAAGACTTATCTTTCGTTTTGGACTCGTTTTCATATTTAGATATTTTCTCTTTTTTACTCGACTTTGGACTCGACTTTCGTTTTCGACCCGAATTCGAGTCATTCGACTGAAAATCGGTGGCATTTGTCGTCAATTTTTGGTCTTTCAATTGAATCCTTAATTTAAGCGGATTTTGCGGAACAGATTCGTTGTCTTTATCCGAAGACTCCATTTCATCGATACTTAACTTCTTTTTTAAAATCTTCAGTTTAATGGGTGCTGTGATTGAGTTGTTCGAGACATCGGTCTTGTCTTTAGTGGCTGAATACGATATCTTGAAGGAGGGGTCCTCGCAGTGATGACCCCTTTCACGATCCCTATCCCGGTCTTTGTTACTGCGATCCTTGTCTTTGTCTTTGCGTTTATGTGATTTCTCTCTATCCTTATCCTTATGCTTGTGTTTATGTTTGTCTTTATGTTTACTACTCTTATGTGAATGTTTGTGATGTTTCTCTTCGGGCGCAGAATGACTGCTCTTATCCTTGGATTCCTTATTGGGAATAACGGGGGGTCTGTTCGCACCCGCGTCTGAGGCAACGTTTGTATTATTCACAGATATTGATGGGTTTAGACTTATCGGGGTATTAAGCGGCGGTTTGGGATCTAT